TGAACTAAATTCTAGTTGTGTGGCCACCTGTGGAATCCCCCAAATCTTCATTTACAGCAATGCAACCCAGCTACATGCAATTGGGTTGCACCTCTGTAGATTTGAAGACAACGAAATTGCAAGGGTATAACTAAAGGCAACATGTGCCTGTATAACTTTTATTTGGTGTAATGTTGCATAAGCCAAGAGTACACTTTGATATTCAGATCCCAGGCTGGGTTTGGAGTGATGGAACTTAAACTCCAGCCTTCTACTTCTAGACTGAGCATAATAATTTGGGGCAAATAGACATGGAAACACACAATGCTATTTCATCAGAGGCTGGTTTTCCAAGTAAAGCAGCACTTGTTACATATTAATTTTAGGTAGCTCCTGGAGTTCTTAACCCCTAGATTGTCCACACATCAATACGTGAAACTAATTTTAAGAACACTTTAGGCAGCTTAAAGTTCTGCCACTCCAGGGCAGGTTTATCTTTGATCTGTGTTACCCAGCTCATGTTCCATTAATGTATAGCCAACTCCCCACAGATGAACCACCTAAATCCTCTAGCATCACAGGAGGCAGTGTCCCTTCCCCCACCCTCCTGTTCTTTGTGGAAAAACTTTCCACCCCTTGAACTCTACTACCCAGGTGGCATTTCTGGCACCAAACAGCTCCCCCTCCCATCCCTGAGGGTGGGACCTTCCCACCCCCAGGCATGCAAACTTGTGCAAACAGCCTGCAAAGTACATGCCAGTTAGCCAGGTCACAGGAGTGGGGTCTAGTTGGGGTGGAAGAGGGACAAGATAAAGGGGTGGATCAAGTCCCTGTGAGCTGGGGCTTCCTTCCCAGAGCATGGGCAGTAGCTCTCTCAAAAGCACCTTCCCTCACCAGTCCCACCTTCCAGCCACCCTGGGAAGCAAAACCAGTACCCCTCACAACCCAATCCCAAATCCCAATTTATTAAAACATAAGACCTTAAATGTACTTCCTCTGTATTTCTTTTTAAATTCTTAATTTTTTTTACTTCTTTTTATTTGATCCTTCAGTGGCTGACTTCCTTCATTTCACCATCCCCATCTCCTTTCCACCTTACATTTCATCACCTACCCCAACTCCCACTAATGCTTTGCTTCTCAGCTTCAGGTTTGCACCCTGTCTAACCATCTTTCACCCCCCCCTTCCCCCCCCACATATGGCATGGATAGAAACCTGTGCTTTAGTATCAGTTCACACCTGTTGGGCCCCTGCTGCTTGGCAGCCCTCTAGTGGAAAGTCACAGCTGTGCAGGTGGGAAACAATCAGAAAAAGTTTTTAGCCTCAAGGTGGTACTGCTCCAAACTTGAGCTAGCACTAGCACCAATCAACATTTGAGCAGCTCAGAGTGCAATATGTAACAAGGCCCCTTCTGCCTTATCTGAAGTGAATCTCCTTTGTGAAACCTCTACAATCAATTTGGATGCATCATGCAGAATATAGTAGTTGAATAATTAATTTAAGTAGTTAGGAATTCACACAATAGCCTGTTGGCACTGCAAACAGCTTCCAAATAATGCTGCTAATATCAATAAGTGTAATGCTTTGGAACACTGTGTGATTGACCATTACCAATGTACGTAATATTTTTACTATCAACACTTGTATGAGATGCATGGGCCAGACATAGAGATTAGCGTCAAATCACAGAATCATAGAAAATTAGGGTTGGGAGGGACCTCTGGAGGCCATCTAGTCCAACACCCACTCAAAGCAGGACCATCCCCAGCTAGATCATCCCAGCCAAAGTTTTGTCTAGATGAGTCTTGAAAACCTCCAAGGATGAAGATTCCACAACCTCTCTGGGTAACCTGTTCCAGTGTTTTACTACCTTCCTAGTGAGAAAATTCTTCCCAATATCTAACCTAAACTTCCCTTGCTTCAACTTGAGACTGTTGCTCCTTGTTCTTTCATCTGCCAGCACTGTGAACACTCTAGCTCCATCTTCTTTTGAACCTCCCTTCAGGCAGTTGAAGGCTGCTATTAAATCTCCACTCAGTCTTCTCTTCTCCAAACTCAGTCTCTCCTCATAAATCATATGCCCCAGCCCCCTCACCATTTTTGTTGTCCTCCACTGGACTCTCTCCAGGTGTGCACATCCTTTCCATGGTGGGGGACCCAAAACTGAACACAGTACTCCAGATATGGCCTCACCAGTGCTGAATAGAAGGGAACAATCACTTCCCTTGACCTGATGGCAACACCCCAGCCAGTCAGCCCCCAGCCCATACTGGTGCATGGGATTGTTCCATCCTAAGTGCAGGACTTTGTATTTGTCCTTGTTGAACCTCACAATTTCATTTGGTCCAATCCTCCAATTTGTACATGCACACAGGGAACTCAGCATTTCAAAGTGATCACAAAAATCTACTAAAATGCACATGCACTAGCTTCCCTGTACAATGCACAAAACACATTTTTTTCTCCTTACGAGTCTTTATTGCAACATGATCTAAACCTTCCAGTATCATCTGTCATATTATAGAGATAAAGATCTGATGCTTTATGGCAGAAAATGGCTGTGTTGCTCCATAGTGTTGAAAAGTATCTGAATCAAATATTCAGGTTTCTTTCCTGTGACCTAAATATCTAAATCCTTCTGTGATGTTAATAGATTCATGGAGTCTGTGGCCAATTACTATTACAATAACTGGCTGACCACTTGCATGACACAGACAAGAGAAACTCACCTAGTCATTTCTGCATCAAGCTTCTGTATGAGCTCTGGCATGTTTTTTAGGGAGACACCCAAATCTTGAATTAAAGACTTACAAAATAAAATCTTTAAATGTTTATTGAAGAAGAGATGGGTCAGAACCAAAGCTTTGGATTAGAACCTGCCACTGGCCACGCTATGCTATTAGAGGAGTTGGGATTTGAACATTTATGTTTCAAATTTTGGGAGTGCTCTGACTTGGATCTCAATTTTGTATTTCTTGTCTGTCTCTTTAAAATGAAATGTGGCACAACAGGTTCTGTGTTCACAATAATTCTCCATCCTCCTAAAATTCACTTTGGTCAACCATATACATAGACTATGGACAAATATAATGAATCATCATCATAGGAAGCTCTGAACTATAAAATTTAAGGGTAGAGATGTTTGAAATGCAGTACTTTCATTCTACAGGAAATTCCAAAGCATTTCATTCTGTTTTGTTTTGTTTATAATCTATTCTGTGTTATTGAAATAGTCATAGCAAAGCACTTTGATGTTTTTGGAACCACGTGTTTCAATACTTTAAAATTTATATTTCAACAAAATCAATACACATCCACGCATTGTTTTGATTTAATAGAATCACCATTTTCCAGGAAAACATAGAAAAGCCACCATGCTGAATGAGTGCACAAGACAGTGCAGAAAATGTCACAGAATTAAGCTGCCTCCTCTTTTATATGCCTAGGTGGGAGACTGCTTTAGTTTTTGTGATGCTTGTACCACACCGCATCTTCCCATTTGGGAAGTCACACCTACTTTGTTGAGATAGGAATCTACCTTTTCAGAAAGACAGCTAACTTGTTGCTCTTAGGCTGGAAACAAAGGTCCTATTTGGACAGTGTTCCACTGTGTTGCAATATGTCATGGCACAGCCAGTCTATTTCACTGATGTCTACAGATGTCACTGGGGCTGTTACCCTGCAGGGTCATTGCTCTGCCCCTGTTGGGACATTAGGGACCTGATCGTGCAGGAAAAGGGCCCCAGGTGCCATGCCCCAACTTGGGTGTGTATCTACAAGTGGTGGAAAACCCCTTTATAGATGTACCCCCCTTTTGGGACATGGACCAATCCACCAACCCAGCAAGATAGATGTAGCAGGGCCCAGTGCCTTTTTCAATGGTGTGCCTTGTGTCAAGGCATGGTGCAGAAATGAAACAGGGGACTCTGAGTTCCCCTCCACCCACTTGCAGGGGGCAGAGGGATTTCCCTGGTGTACCCGGTCTGGAAGCATGGTGAACCTTTTTTAGAGTTCCCCCCTCTGGACTTGCAGATGTACACTGGGGGAATCTCTCTGCGACCCAACAGGGACAGGGGGGCATATCTGCAAGTGGGGGGTTTCCAACTTGCATATGTGGGTTCTATTTTGAGGTAAGGTACCTGAGGCCCTTTTCCCACAGGATCAGGCCCTTGAAGCTGGGGGAGTTTCTGCCTAGGGCTGCTGGCGAGTGGGGGTAGCTACAGTCTGCTCACACTTTTCTACCACAAGTTAACAGGCTTCAGCCACATTAAGGCAGCACAAATTATTACTAGGTTTGTTGACACCACAGAATTTAAGCACAACAAAGGGCTATGATGTGTGTTCTCTTGGCTTTTATGCACCATAAACATTTTTATGGTGGCACAAAGTCAACATCTGTTTACAGCTTCAGTCCAGTGCCTAGAAGAAATTTCAATGGGAGTACTGGATGCACCAATGCAAGAGAGAGGGTGCAAGAGAGCAACTTCCCTGAAACATGAACTCACAGAGGAAGAAACCATAATGTTTTTTCCAAATCTCTAAACTTCATGCGTTGGGGTAGAACAGTGAATCTGACTATCATAGTAGGTTAGAGGGTTTTTTAGGTGGGATGAAGTTTAAACAAGGCATAATGCCAGTAGGCACAACTTAGAAGTCAGTATACCTCATGCCTTTCTACAGTGTAGCTCTGCAGTTAGGCAGTATAATTTAATCTGAAAGGTTTCCAGGACAACAAGTTTAACATTTCTAGCTATTAATTTTAGCCAATGGAAAAATCTCCCCCAAAAGTGTCTAAGTTATTTGGGAACTTAAGTTCCATTTACAAAAGTGATTTATTCAATTAAGAGCCTAAGACTTAATGGGAACCTTTTAAAATGGTCCTTAAGCTCCAAAATCACTTACGGCAATATTGAAATCTATTTTTTAAAATGCTATTCATAACATACACATTCTGAAAAATAAGGTGGTATATGAGACTGAAAATTGATGCGTGTGATCTTCATAATGAGTTATAATTCTAGATGTATACTTCTGAACATGTATTGAAGAATGAGAATTATAAATGTTTTCAGTAAGAATGCCTCGTGTTGATTATCCCTCACATGTGTTCCAAGGCTTTTGCCAGGTCTAAAAATATTGTTATACTTATAAATGTCCATTAGTCGCTCAGTATTTCAAGTGTGGGCAAGAATATTGGTAGAAAAAAATATTTTTTAAAGTGGTCTAAAATAGTTTGAAAATTGTGATGAGTGAACTGGTTCTGGCAATGTAAATGCCTATAGCCTGAAACTAAGTACATTTCTAAATGAATCTGAAATGAATCACACCTTCTCACTTCCTGGTTTGATCTGGTATGGGAAACAGAAGTGCCAAATGCCCATGAGAGAGGCTATTCATGTGGTATTTCTGGTCCAGATTTAACTAGGCATTACTGGAAATCCTGCAAGATTTCCAACCCCAATTGCCAGACCGATGAGGTTGGGAAAAGTCTTCATAATTATAGGAACCAAATTTCCAAACCTTTAGCTGTTTGTCCATTGCCTTTTCTGCCATCCTGTAATGTAGAACAAATAGAATTAATGGTCTCAGTTGGTTTCTAATGCCTCTTTCTGTCTTTCTTTAGAGCTCTGTCATCCGTGGTGGCTTTAGGAGCAAATATCATCTGCAACAAAATTCCAGGCTTGGCCCCTCGGCAACGAGCGATCTGCCAGAGCCGCCCTGATGCCATCATAGTGATTGGAGAAGGGGCACAGATGGGAATCAATGAGTGCCAGTATCAGTTTCGGTATGGCAGATGGAACTGCTCAGCACTGGGAGAAAAAACAGTCTTTGGACAAGAGCTTCGAGTAGGTAAGAGATTCTCCAAAATAGTTCCAGCAATTGGGACAGTTTGCCTTTTAGCTTCCTCTTGCAGTATGGAATAGATTTACATCTATCAGGCATTTACATGCCATACAAACTGAAGAAACACGCTCTCCAGAACAGCATCAGCATTTATTTTTTCCTGCTGTTCTCTAACCTCATTTTGTAGCCAATGAAAAACAGGTCCAGAGATAGCTAGGTTAAGTCTTCTATTATCTGTACCATATTCTGTGTGAAAAAACACTTGAATAACTGTAAGAGCAACTATGGCTAGAGTCAATTTCATTTCTTGTGAAGGTAATGCTGTAACAAACTGGTAGCCAGTTAGGGCTACATCGTTGCTGCTGGACTTCATGCTATGACCAGTCAGAATCCCACTGTAATGAGATAAATTCAGTTCCAAAACAGCCACCAGAAAAATCTTAATTAGCTTGTTAGTGTTGTAGTTTATATGACATACTGGTGATCTTTCACTACACAGCAGTTATATTAATCCCTTCTATTTATAATTTACAACTTAAAGACAGCACTATACATGGCCTACCTCCAGTGGTAGATATTGGAAAACATTCTGAAAGAAAATAACTTATGGTACAAGACTGAGGCCTGACCAATTCTTATAGGACAGTCATCAAACGATCACTTTCCACCTAATTTATGTCTGATCTTACTTAATAAGGTTTCTACAAAGTGCCTGTCTATTAGGCCAACAAGAACTGTGTCTAACAAAACTCTAAAAATTGTACCACCAACAACTTTCTTTGAGGACACATCTACAGAAGACACTAACTACACAGTAGACTAACAATACTGCACAGTAGCATGTCACAGCACAAACAGTGCTAATATGCTACTGTGCAGGATTATTAGGCTACTGCACAGTAGTGTCACTAAAAAGGTGGGCAACGATGCTGCTACACAATAACACTGGTTACTGTGCATTAAATTTAGTACTCTAAAAAGGTGGGCAACGATGCTGCTACACAGTAACCTAGGCACATTAATGTATGTGTAGACGTGCCCAGTATTATGTTCATATTTGGGCGATTCTGCTCCTATGCTTAATTTCAATGGTAGAGTTGAGTCACATGGTCAAACCTGAGGCACATTAATGTATGTGTAGACGTGCCCAGTATTATGTTCATATTTGGGCGATTCTGCTCCTATGCTTAATTTCAATGGTAGAGTTGAGTCACATGGTCAAACCTGACCTGCCACATGCAATGAGTGATTTCTGTGGAAGAGAAAAAAAGTGAATGCACTGCCCATATGAGGAGTAAAGCGCTCATGCAGTACTTAGGCGTTCTCTAAATAGTCTACGAATAAGGTTTTTCATCTGATGCTAGCCAGAAGCCAATGTCAGAAAGCTGAGGTGTGAATCAGACAAACCCTGATTTTAATATTGTTGGTGGATATCTTATAGACACAATGGGCTAATGCCTAAACTGATGTAAATCAGTATAATTCCACCAACATCAGTGAAGATGCCTTTCACCAGCTGCAGATCTGGCTTAGCCTGCTTTGGCTGTTCTACTCTGCACCAAAATACCAAGCTGCAGAGGAAACTAAAAGGAAGCTTCTAAGGGAAAATTTACAGAACATTTCGGAACCTCAAAAAAGATTTGGTTTTGGATGAAGGAAGGTCAGAGGTCAGGAGCTGTTCTTTTGAGGACTTATTCATCTTTTCTAAATATCTTACCATTCAGGCAATCTCACTTGTCAATATTTCATTCTACATTTGTATTCAGATATTTCTTAATTCATCTGGAGAAATAATTTCTCTTAGTTCCCATTATTACTATAAGGATTTTTCTGGGAAATGGAAATAAGGAAAGATGAATAAGTCCTCAAGAGAAATAAGATGTGTTATAATTTTGTGGGCTATAGAAACACAACTTTCATTCTGTTATTGGCATACAAAAAGGAGGGACCAGAGTGGAAAGCAGTTTGTATTGTTTCAACTACCGTACACAGGGAATAATTTAAAGTTTGAGTTTTACCCATGCCAGCAATTGAATCAGAATTGCTATAAAGACACCTACCAAACTTCCTTCCTGCTACCTCAAGGAAAAAAGGCTTCTCCCCTCTCAAAATGAATGACAGGTGCCTCCCGAGAGGGGGGGGG